AAATGTCTTTCTAACACTTCATTTGTTGAAGGATTCCTTTTCTTTTACTTCGCAGGAATAAACCAAATTATGCGCCGCCTCCAGGTGTTCAACAAACATCTAAATAAAGGAAACAATCACTGCAGCATGCAAAACACAACATACTTTTAATTATTTTTATGAATTTGGATAATCATATTTTTATGGTTCGTTCTGTCTTTAAAGTCAATTATGTTTACAATGTAGTAGAGAAAGCAGTTCTGTTGTTCGTCATTTGTACTTTCTTACGCTTTTATGCCTGATTCTTGAAGTTGTTCGCGCTATTTTTCTTTTCTTTAAATTACTGAGCATGTAGATATTGATGGATAGCAATTAGCAGCGTAGAATAGTTGAAAATTCCTGTGAATTATTTGTCGAAATAGAATAATATGTGTAAAATGTTAAAGTCTGTTTTTCTCAATAATCAAATTGATTTGTGTTTTTATTTCAAACATTTTATTAATAGAGATGATAACAAAAAGGTTTACAAATGCTAAGCAACAGCGTTTTGAGCACATGCATGTTAAAATACTTAACATATGCAAACAAGTTACGAGTAAAGTTGAATCAAAAATGGTAATAAAAACTAAGAATGGAAGGACTGTCTTATTCGTTTCCAGCCCTAGTGAACTTTCAGATGATCCGATCAGAAAATTAGGATACTGTACTGAGACCCAGTGACTATCCTTTTTACCGTTTTTTATGTCGACAGACGTTATGTGTTTTGCTGGAATTTTTGTCTTTTTACTTTCTTCTGTGGTCCCTTTTTGGATAAAACGTGCACCTCGTGAGCTAGAGAGCTATGAAAGCTAGAAAAGTTCTGGGAAGGTAGGATATTCTCCCCACATTGGAAATTGATCACGTTCTTTTCTCAAGCACAAGTTCAGATTCGACGCCATAAGCTACATGAGTGGGAAAATACTGTGTTTTGGACTGGAAGCTTTTTAAATTTCATTAGCATCGATTGTCCGGCACAATTTGCTCTTAAGAAGAAAAATAATTCTATGCAATTTTTGTTTCTCTGTTCTTCATATTTCCTTCTCTAGTCTGTTATTCTCTCTAATTATGTCTTTTAAAATAACTGAAATAGAAAATCACAGTGGAAGCGGTGAGTGCAGTGGAAATCTGCTGATTAAACTGATAACTTTTGATCGTTATCAGCAGAGACAGAGTCTGTCGATATCGCAACTTGTGAGCAGCACAATTGCTCTTTAGTTTTATTTCTTCTTTCTTTCGTTCTCTTTTTTTGGCAAAAGGTGCATCTCGTGATACAGAGAACTATGAAAGCTAGAAAAGTTCTAGAAAAGGTACGATATTCTCCCGAGTTTGGAAACAGATCGATGCACATTTTTCACTCAAATAAAGGTCGAGATTTGTTGTCATAAGGGCCACGAATGAAAGAAAAATGTATTTTGGACTTTGAAATGTTTCATATATTCAGTTGTCCGACGCCATTTGTTCTTCAGAGGAAAATTAATAATAATTCAGAGGAAATCTAAACTCCCACCTTAAATTTCGTTTTCAGTTCATTTTAATGTCGGCAGACATGATGAGTTTTTGTAGGGATTTTATTTAGTTTTTTCTGTTTAGTAATAGTACGACGTGATCTAGCGAACTACGCCGCTTAGAAAAATTCTGAAAACGGGAGGACAATCTCTTGACATTGGAAATTGATCAATGCACGTTTTTTTTTTCAAAACATGTCCAGATTCGACGCCATAAGCTATACAAGTAGAACTAAAATGTTTTTGGACTTAGAAATTTTTCGTACATTTATAAGAGTTGATTGTCCGGCGCCATTTGTTCTTAAGACGAGACATAATTTTTTTAATTCTTTGTTCTTTATAAATAGAAAACAGTAAGAACATTTAAATACTGAGTAGAGATTTTTAACTTCAATTTTTTAATGATCTCTTTGTTGCTGTTAATATGACCAGGATCTGTCGACATTGCAACTTGTGCACAACACAATTGCTCTCTAGTTTTTTCTTGTTTACTCATTTTGTACGATGTGACCAAGCGAACTACGCTACGTAGAAAACTTCTGAAAACTGGAGGATAATCTCCCGACATTGACGATTGATTAATGCACGTTCTTCTTTCCAACACAAGTCCAGATTCGGTGCCATAAGCTTCACAAGTGGAAAAAAATGTGTTTTGGATTGAAAGTCTTTTAAATTTCATTAGTATCAATTGCCCGGCACCATTTGTTCTTGAGAAGAAAATTTTTTTAATTGTTTGTTCTATTTTAGATATCTAACGCAGAGAGATTTTAGTCTCTGTCAACACTTACGATCCTACAGTAGTTTTTCTTGTAGTTAATCATCACATTATACGGGTTACTTGCTGGTGTGTAAATACATAATACGTTAAAGTATGATGACTGTTAACACGAATAGGATTCAGTCTTAATTATGTTATAATCAAGCATCTTCGAGCTTTATTAATACATTGTTTAGCATTCGCAAACATTTAGGCATTAAAGTGAAACGTGAAACGTATGGGAGCATTGTTAATCACTATCATTGTCTGACACTGTATAAGAATCGTTCAATACTGTTTAAGAACTGTTTAAAAATTGTTGAGTACTGTTTAGGAATTGTTGAGTTACGTTGGGCTTTGTTGAGGTATAATTACTTTTGTTGGATATATTTCCATATATGTGTGATATTTAAAAGGTTCGTCTATTATTAACGCCCTACATGGCTAAAAAGAAACCTGTTGCTAGAAGAGTGAAAACGAAGAAGCGGAAAGATACTGAAAGAAGAAATGCTGCACAAGAAAAAAGGTATACAGTTCCAGCACCGTCTGAACCAACCAGTTCAACCTTCAATATTGATTTGGTAAGTGAAAATGAGGGGCTACATCGAAGATTATTTGCTAATGAGAAATGGAAAAGAAAGTACCAGTCTAATGCAGTCTATCGTAAGAAAGTTAAACAAGTCAGCAAACAGTGGCGGAAAAAGCAATAATGAAATAATGCGAGTTTTCGTGCAGCTTGTGTAAACGCCTCCACTAGTAGAAAACCGCTACAGTACCACTCTAATGCACGAGTACATTTGACCTCAATTAACAAAGAATTAAGTTTGTATCATGGTATTCTCGCCCATTGAGTGACCGTTATTAATAAACAGATGGTGCGATATCATACAAATCTGCAAATTAATCGACAGGTCAAAGAAGCTGTGATTATGAAACGTTTGTCTAGTAAATTTGACTCTCTTCATATGCGAAACACTTGGCTACATGACAGCTCGTTTAATCGAGACCTCAAAGCTTTAAGAACTCATTGTTCGAAATTTCTGAAATTTTCTGTGATGCAAAACCGATATAACTCTGGTCATAAAATATACGTTTTACTGAAGTATGTAGCGTTAGAAAAAAAAAATCGCGGCTCTTAAAACGAAAGTTAAAGAGTCACACGCCAAAATTAAAGAAAGTTTAGGGCTTTTTTACGTTAAGTGTTACCAGAAGTTTGCAACCATTGCAAAAGAAGGACCAGATTTCATTTGTACTATCTGTAACAGATGTATTTTTTCAAATCAAGTTGTACAGTGCAATCAATCTGTTTATTTAATTCATACTTTGTCAGAAGAGCAATGAACAGAAATACAGAAATGTTTTTCAATAAAGAGAAATATATGTAGTAGCCAATGAATTTGCCGTAAATGTACTCGTTATTTAAGACGGAAGAGCTGTTTGTAACGGCTTAGAAGTTTGTGCTGTACCATTCACATTAAAAGGACTGAATTACTTAGAAAAACTACACTTAGCTTTAGTGATTCCGTTTATGGACATAGTTGATCTGTTACCTTATAAGGAGCGAGATATTGACGATTCACTACATTGTGTCCCTGCGAATGTACAAGAAACAGTTACATGTCTTTCGAGACCTTAGATAAATCAATGATAATTCCTTTCGAACTGGAAAGACGGATTCAATATAAAGCAGTATGGAAAAAAACCGTTCATTAATCCGATGCATACACTCTAAAAAAATGTCGTAGATTAATAAACTATCAAAAAGAGTTTATTAAGACCAATAAACCTTTCAAACAACGTTTTTCGTTTTTTATATCCAAAAAACTAAAAAGTTATTATTTTATTCTGTTTTAAATATAAGACAAAGATATTATAGATGATATTTTGCTTTCGTCTTACACAACTAGGCCATTTATCTTGGTTTTTTGTCATGTACGTTTGATATCACGATTGTATTTGACACACGTTCTGATTAATCTTTCAAGTAGTGGTGGGACAATATGCTCTTTCAAAACAAGTCGAACTGGTTATCAGTTCTTTTCAAGAATTCAACCAAGATTCTTTAATATGGACTTCTGAATACGCGCAAAAACTTGGGCAAACCAACAGTTGTCATACTGAACATAGAGCATCACTTCTTGGAAAATTTCCATACCCTTAAACGGACAAAATACCGTCTTTAATGTATTTTTTGTGTGGAAGGAAAGGATATAAGTTTTCCAAAACGTTCTCTCCCGAACCAAATGTTAGATAGCGCACAAATTCTCGAATTCTATCTCTTCATACACAGAGAATCGAAACGAATCACTTTTTTCTCCCAAAAACCAATGTAGAAATGTTTCCCGCAACGGTTCATTGCGAAGTGAACAATATATATAAGAAACAGTTTTGAATGCACCGAAACGGAGAGAACAACTTTATGAAAACAAAAAATTCAGTTCATTAAGCGTTAGATGGGACGAATGAATATTGTTTGCGGTGTAGAAAGACGAATCTGAGTGGCACGTACGATAGATGGTTGGTATGAATTGTAGATGATAGATGGCGGCTGTTGTAGACCGTATATTAGACTTTGCGATCGTTGTGGGCTGAAGATTAGAGATTGGGATCGTTGTGGACCGAACATTAGAGATTGGGATCGTTGTGGGCCGAACATTTGAGATTGGAGCCGTTGTGGGCCGATGCACATTTTTCACTCAAATAAAGGTCGAGATTTGTTGTCATAAGGGCCACGAATGAAAGAAAAATGTATTTTGGACTTTGAAATGTTTCATATATTCAGTTGTCCGACGCCATTTGTTCTTCAGAGGAAAATTAATAATNGTTTGCGGTGTAGAAAGACGAATCTGAGTGGCACGTACGATAGATGGTTGGTATGAATTGTAGATGATAGATGGCGGCTGTTGTAGACCGTATATTAGACTTTGCGATCGTTGTGGGCTGAAGATTAGAGATTGGGATCGTTGTGGACCGAACATTAGAGATTGGGATCGTTGTGGGCCGAACATTTGAGATTGGAGCCGTTGTGGGCCGAACATTTGAGATTGGAGCCGTTGTGGGCCGAACATTAGAGATTGAGGTCGTTGTGGGTAGTACATTTGAGATGGGGACTGCTGTAGACCGGCGTATCCGTAACTATAATAAGGTGATGCTGCTGCGTAGTAGAGTCGAGTTGCAATTGTTCCATAGCCATACAGCTCATAAAATACTCCTGATAATAACCATGATAGAAACGACAGAAACTCCAGTATAATAACAGGTATGAAAAGCCAAAACCCGTACCGATGACTGTAGTGGACATCACCACGTCGCCTAGAAAAATTATTTGCTTGTCGAGCGAATACAGGTATGGCGACAACGAGAAGAATAAACGCAATGAAGGCTAAAACAGTTGCTAGAAACACTAATCGTGGCAATAATGCTGCTACGATAGCTACAAGTAAACCAAGTGTCAATAAAATCATTCCTGTTGTTACAAGACCCTCAGCGGTGCGCACAAACTGAGGTCGTCGGGCATCAGTATACAATTGTTTTTCGGCAGTTGGCCATCGCTGGCACACCTTGAATGAGACTTCCTGGGTCTGACAATATGACCATAAACCATAGTGTTCTACATCAGTTGACCCGTTTTGACGAAGTTCTTGCCATTGTGGAACACCGAAACCAATCCAACCTGAAAGTGAATAGTATGACAGATTGGTTTATGCATAATTTCCGAGAACAGCTAAACACTTGGCATGAATAAATGGAATTCTTGTTTGACAACTTACAGTGCATGCAACAAACAGATGGTATGAAAAGGGATACACGAGAGGAAGATTTGCAGTTTTATTCTTGCACAAGTCAGAATTAGGCCCAAACAAGAATATAACAGCCATAAGCCAACAGTCCTTCTCGAGTCACGGAATCGAGCAAACATTGCTGTATCGTTTTCCCGATAAGAGGCTCTGTATGTCTGTCTGCGTAAAACACGGTGTACCACAGGTGGATGAGTGAACATTTTGTCCTCGTAAGAATACAGGCCACACTATTTGGTCTTCTGTTCATGCTATACATACCGAGGATGAAAGCGACGAAAGAGAGTAACAGACCAATAATTAAGAAGATTTTCCACAAAGCTAGGGCGGTGTTGTTATTCATAATGAATCCTGTTGCAGGGTAGATTATGTTTGTTCTGTTGATTTAACCGTCAACAAAAGTAACAGAGCCTTGAAGATACGCCTCACTGCGTTGTCTATTAAACGAACTGTAATATCTATGTTATCGGACAGAAATTACAGTTCGATTGAATTATCCATGTGTTACTTGCTGCTAAGGTATACACCGGTATCGGTATTCATTCCGAAATACTAATACCGAAAATACCGACTTTTTTCAATTTGGAGTTTTTTGGATTTTTTTATTTGAAATAAGAATTTTAGCGTGCTGGACAAGCAGAACGTATAAAAAGTACTCATCTGTGTATTCTGAGCATGTGCTGATAGAAAAAAAGAAAAACACTTGTTTGAAAAGAAAGCTCTTGTTTTGCGTCCTTGTTTCTTTCGGGTGTCCATGACACTAAAATATCACATTTCAGATGAAAAAATCCCAAATAGTAAGGTCGGTATTCGGTATACCGATACCTGTGCATATCTACTCGGTCCAGTTCGATTCTGAGAAAAAAGGGATGGATTAAATAAAGTGTGTAAAATACTGTCCGGACATGAAAAAATAGAATAATAATATAGCAAGACGACAAAACAATTCTTAACTCACTGATGTAATTGCCTGAACAAGCGATTGAGAAGTAAATCAGTGGGCTCAAATTAGAAGTGAAGTTATTAAAACTACTCAAAAGGTTCAAAGAACGTATAATATCAAATGTAGAAAATGCTTTCAATGATGTACTTGATTTGGAGCGTAGAGATTATCCTTTGATTTGCAATTTAGTTTGTAATTTGTTTTTGCAAAATAGTTCTTTGACAAATGATAATTGGCACAGAATTAATTTATTGTTTTAATCACTTTTGTTTCATTACTGCCTTAGCTTCACAGTCGTATCAAGGATAACCATAAAAACGTTATCCTGTATAGTTCGATCGTGAATCATTTGCAGCTATAGTTGCATCACAGATATTTTAGGAAAAAGTATATTAGTGTGTAGATTAATCATTAATCAGTGTTATTAACGATGCTTATTGCTATTATCCATCTCAGAATATAATGCGGGTTGCCATTTTTCTAAATAACTCAGAGGGAAATGAACATAGAGACTTGAGGTTTTCAGTGTTGGAAACTAGACACCTGAAGCCTCCTTTTCACAAGCAAAATCGATTTTCAGAAAGATTTCCGAAGGTCGTTTTTAAGAGGATCTTTGGAAACGAGCTTGGATTTTCTCAAATTCATATAGCAACCTATTGATCTTTTTGCATAGATAAGTAGTCCGAAATCTCCTATACAAAACTAGAACTAAGCGACATCTTCAAAAACCATGACTGAGGCGCTCCGAATATTTTTCTCGAAGGGCAAGGACTCCTTTATCAATAGGTTTGAGTCTATCAGAAATGCATGAAAACATAGATTATCAACTATGCCGAGTCTCGTGGCAATGTCTGTTTTCTCTACAAACTAAGCTGATCAGAAAATCTAGACTGGTGGAGCCAGTCGTTAAAGATATGCAAAAGAAGCGTTTGAGTGTTATATATGCATCACAGTGTGTCATTATAATGAGAACTCCTTTGTTTTTGATTTTTCATCAAAGCTGGAACCAATCTGAATACTGTTTTGAATAGGCCGAAGATTTTCCTATCAGATGAGGTGTATACCGTCATTTTATGAGGGAACTTGATAGCAGCATTTCTCGAAAATCTGAACGCTAGAAAACCAAGTCCGTAGTTTTTGGTCAGAAAATTTTGCGAACTATATAATCTGACAGACCAAAGCATTCTGAGGAAAATAACACATCTCCCGGCTGTCTATAACGCTATTTTCTGATCAGCTCAGTTTGTAGAGAAGTTCGCGGGCTATCTAATGGCATTCTTTTGAAAAATTTATAGTTTTTTATTAAGACAGAAAAATGAATGCTTATGCCGACCGTTTACTTCGACTTTGGTCGCAAACTTTCTGTAACAAATATGCTTATCCCAAACTTTTGACGGTGATTCCAGATAGTACACTGAGAGCACTATCTACTGCAAGTAGTCCGACTTCAACGTAAGTTCATAATAACGAGATCGATCGCTCACAAAAGTGCTCCATGAAGCTCCGTTTCAGTCTTGTTGTAATGTACGGAGTAAAAGCTATACGTGATATTTGTATGTCATTATATGGTAGACATCAAGTACTACCTATCCTGAAAAAATCGCGGTTTCATCTCTTCTCGTTCATGAGAAAAACGAAATGTACGTTTTTCACGCGCATAACTTCTCGAACTTTACTTCAGTCGAAAAAATTTCATATTTACAGAACGGAAAGTTCCGGAAGTCTACAAATTTGGTATTATAGGTTTTCGACCATGCTCTACAAGATGAGGCTACTTAGAAAAAAATCTGAAATAGTCATTGTGCTTGGCTTGTCGTGGTTTATGTGCTATGGCTCACAGATAGATAGTCCGAAGTCTCATATACAAAACTGGAACTAAGCGACATCTTCAAAAACCATGACTGAGGCGCTCCGAATATTTTTCTCGAAGGGCAAGGACTCCTTTATCAATAGGTTTGAGTCTATCAGAAATGCATGAAAACATAGATTATCGACTATGCTGAGTAGCAATGTCTGTTTTTTAGAAAAAGATTTTAGAACCTAGTGACACCTAAGGTTTATGAAAACTAGTCTTTTCCGGCTGTTTTCAGCTAATATTAAAATTTCATAACTCACTGAAAATACATCAGAGCCAGTTGAGACCTTCAGGATGTACAGTATCTGAACTGCTTTATATTCTACGTATAAAAGAATCTGTATAAAAAGAATCTAGAGAACTCTGTGATTTTCTGCAAACGCTTCTAGAAAACGGTTGAACAAATATTACTTTTCCAAATTTTTCGCTGCCATAATGATGTTTAGTGGACAAAATTAACCATATCTTGAAGTTTCCAACTGGCTCTGATGTATTTTCAGTGAGTTTTGAATTTTTTAATATTAGCTGAAAACAGTCGGAAAAGACTAGTTTTCATAAAATTACAATAGTTCCTTAAGAATTTAAAATATATGAATTCTAAAATAGTAATTAAAATTCGTCTCTTATTGAAAAGTTATCAAATTACGATTATTCATAACTTTAAGGCATTTGTAATGTGGAAAAGTCAGAAAACTAAAGATCTTCAGAAATTGTTTTATTCATAAATGTAACCTGCTAAAATCTAGTCACGAATCTTGACTTATCAAAGCATTGTAAAAAAAACGGTTTTGTTTAAGCAGCAGATGTCTAGTGGATACTGAGTGTGATAGTTTTTTCAACATAACAGAATTAATATTATGAGAGACTGATAACTGCTGTCTTGCAAAAAAATTGCTGCTTACGAGAGAACCTTCCCAAGTGGGCACCATCGACTTCAATGATATTATGTCTGTAGATGGCGACTATTGTTCTAAGTAAAAGCCTTGAAAAATTTGTGCCCACCTTATTTCTTTCAAAAGTTATGTATTATTTTGATTGCGTACAGAAGGAGTCACAGTAACGACGAAAAGGCTGCGAGAAGGCTCTGCTCTTCCTTCCGTCTATTGGCGGGCCGTCAGCAGGCAATTGTCCGTCCTGGAAAATTATAGCAAGGGCATAAGTTATTGCCCTGTGTAGAATTATATTTCGCAGCAGAGTATGTGTTCGAAGTTCAGAATAAAGAAAGCAATTCTTGATCGAAAAATTTTATGTACAGTTTAAATGAAGGAAAAATGTGTTAGCATGGACAAAAAGTGTGCAGGAAAGCACGTTTGTGTATGTAATACTCTAAAAATTTATTGCACCTCCTAAAAATTTTCCCGGCTCGCCCATGAACTTCAGTCACATACAAGATTTTTCTCTTTTTTAACTTTTTAGAAATTTAGTCATGTGATAAAGTTAATTAGGCTATATTGTTTTCTTCTGTGATTCAGAACGTTGTTGTTAAAGAGAATACAAATATAAAAAACACAGGCGATTAACGGACACAGTGAGTAATATTCGTAGGAAAATTAGGTTTACTCTACTAGGGTAAACCTAATTACTTCATTAGTAATGAAGTAAAATTGAATTGCTCATTATGTAGACACGTTGAAGGTCTAAAATGTTGAAAAATGCTTATTTGATACGCGGAAGCTATTAAAATCAACAAAATTAAAATATTCACATCTAACATTATGTGTTTGTCTGCAATAGACGCAAATCTCTGAAACAGTAGTAACTATTGGTCTTTTTCCTCTTTAAACTTGAATAGTGACACTATAATTTCTCATAATTTTCAAAATTTGACTGAATATGTTGATGAATTGAGGTTGTGCATACTCTCCTGTGGTCATTTGCACCCAAGAAATTTTCTTCAATTCTTCCATTTTTGATTATGAAATTTCGTTACATAACTACTTATCATGCAAGACTTTATTCATAGTTTCAAAGGTCTTAGGTTTTACTCTTGGTAAATATCATTTCACCACCGTAAAATTATCGGTGTTTTTTCTTATGCTACGACATATAAAGAAGCCAAGATTCACAATAGTTTTCAGTCATCTGATTTCATTCTGATTGTATTATCTTGTCGAAAAGAACGTTTTGGGATTTTGTAAACTGTGATCTATCTGAGTTAAGGATAAGGTTAACGAGGATAAATAACAATTTGGAATAAAAGCAATACAATGGAAATTTGATAAGAGCATTTTCAATCGTGTCTTGTTGTCTTAAGAAAAGAAGTTCCAATAATTCGAAAACCAAATTCTCACCTATCAAATTTAAGTGTAAAACTTATTTGTAATAGCAATGAAAATATTCAATCATAAAACTCAATAGATCCCTACAGGCTTTCACCAATCGGATATCGGCGATGAACGAATACAAGTGGTACTCGTTTGAATATTGAATTGTTCTCGTTCTATTCACTCTAATTACCATCCTACACCATTCCCCAATGAGAAAGGTAAAATCATTCGATTTTGTTGATCTTAAGAAATGTCCAGTTGAAAAGTGTCAAAAACCA